GACGAGAATAATTCTTACTAATTAAGGATTAGGATGGGAACTTGCAAGGCTAATGACTAATTGTTTTAAAGCCTCGGCAAACAACAACAGCATTGTTGTTGAACTTATTTTTAAATATAAATGAGTTAAAGGAAATTGATAGTCGGGCAAGATCGACTAGTAAATACTCAACACCACTTCATCCAATAGTTATTCATTCTTTTTTTTGGTAATACACCACAAATTATATTTAATTTTCATGTAAATGCGCACATGTTATGAAAGGCGCCATATAGGAGGGTGTCCACCAATTGACGTGGGCTAAATTCAGCAAATTTAACTTACTTGTTAAAGAAATATTATTTTTCATTTGTTTTCGTTATAGATACTGCTAATTGCACTTTAGACTACATAACGGCTGATAAGAATCCTTATATTTGGTGCGCGTTGACGTATATGATCCAAAATATTAAAAATTAGACCTTTTTGTACTAAGGGTTTATTTTTCGTAAGATTCCTTATAGAGTGCTCAAAAAATAATCTTATTCGTCCAACTGAAACAGCTTGGTACAGATTTGCATCCAATTTTTTTTTATAGACCAATTTATTAGGCGTGTGAATCTATTTTGATCATTGTTTATCTTTAAAAAGGTGCTTATTGAGAAAAATTATTTCAATTTATGTTAATGAAGACATTTTCTACAACTTCTTCCGACCTTGTGGTAACATGACGATAACGTGTCGCAATTGATTTGGCTGCGACCTATCCACCGACCCAATTTCGCACTTCTCCAACTTTGCGGACCCGCGTGCCAGCCAAGCCATGCTGCACCGACCTGAACAAGTAGTAATCAGAAGGTGCCATGTCCAATGAATACGCTGGGTACGGCAGAACTTCCCAATCGAGCTGCAACAGTGTATCCTGAACAACTGTTGCAAAAAGTGGTCGAAAAATGTCATTTTCAGGCAAATCGTGTCGTTAGTTTTTAACCGTTGATCCAAAAACGGACAATGGCGATTTGGTGGAGCAGCATCCCCATAAGCCTCTGAACGTGTTTGGTGGGTTTCGGAAGCAGATGCTTTCAAATAAACAACAAAAGTAATGAATTTGACAGAAGAAGAACTTTGAGTGCTTGGTGATTAGCGCCGGTGTATGCTGATTAAATCAAAAACATTGAATGGAAAACTCTCATTTTATATAGAGGAAGGTTAAAACCGTCGAAAATCGTTATGTACACTAGTATTTCCCAATTCTTTATAATTTTTACCTATAGAATTTGCTAATCGAAATTTTTCAAACGCAATTTTAATAAGTGAGTTCCATCGCCTGTTATGATCGTTTAATTGCATATGTGTGTTGTGTGCGTCGTAACTCCAGAGATTAGTTGCTGAACATAAATTCCCGTTAATTTTGCAGAATTTTGAGTTGCAGTTTTACTGGTTTGCTGATCGGGGAGAACACTGATTCTTCTGCATGATATCTTTCTGTATGTTATCTCGGGTTTTGGAAATTTAATTCTACAATACTTAACTAGGCTACAGTTTGCTTAATACTAATTTAAAGAGAGATATATCAAATAATTCCGACACGTTAATATTTATGCAATGCTCGTTGTTTGCCATAATTACTGGCGGTATTACATTTACTTGTTGTTCCCACATTTGCTTCTATTACTGCTTTTCTGTATAATGGGGTAAATTTATTACCGTCTTTTGTTATTCTTCATAGTGACTATTTCTCCTATTTCAAAAATTCTGTTCTGTTTGTTCTTATTAAAATAATTCATTTATTTCATTTGCGTACTTGTTATTCGATTTATTGTTTTCGACCGAAATTCAGATAGTGTCGCATGTATGGAATTAATAGGCCTATGGTAAACGCAAAAAGCCACATCTACACTTCTTGATCTTGATTACTCCTTATTTCGTTCATCAAATATTTTCTTCAGATTCAGTTCCTTCATTAATGAGAAAAAAGATGATGCAATCGTAGACTTGTACAAATGAAGAGAACTTTGTGATCAGATTGTTAAACATATTGACAAAAGGTATTATTCAGAGATAAATTTCTTTCAAACAATTTACGTGCAAATTATCAATGAACACCTTTTGTTTGCATAAGCCGAACGTAACTGATATGAAATGTATTACGAACAAACTCGTTGCGCAATAATTCTTGGAAGATATGTTATGTTATGTTTATGTGTATATACATGCAAATTCACAAGAAGATAACTTATCTTGATGATATAATATTTTTAGGAACAATTTTTTTATATTTCTATAAAAAATTTTCACTAAACTTTATTGAAATACTTAGTGGAACTAAAACTTTGAAATCTTAATATCAGTTGGTTTGAACCATGGAACCACAAGTGGTACTTAATGTTTAACATTCTTTTAGTAAGTTTAGACTTACTGGTTGTATACGCCCTTAAAAACTTCGCACATATTTTGGGTTATAAATATTTCATACAATGTGAGTTTGTGTAAAGAAACTTTGAACATTTTTGCCCGTACAAATAGTGAGAATGAAAAATCAATGGGTCAAATCGTTGCTGATTACCAGCACTAGTTCTCCTTGATCGTAACGTATTCAGAGAAAGAGAGCTTCATTACGCACGTGCACACAAAAATGTACCACCACTGAACGGACGGAAATTCTTCTGTACATAAATTTTTCTTAAGGCAGGCATAGGACAAGGTGGATTGCACGGCAACCATAAGAGAAGAGGAGACAACAACCAAAATTGTAATATAAAAGAGAATTTCTCGTAAAGTTAAAGAACAGACTAACATAAAAGAAAAAGGAAAGCGTTAAGCATTGTGGTTTTGAGTAGGGCAGCATAAATATGGGGAGGATATATAAAAAGAGATACTTGCACGTAGAAGTTATGACTAGTAACAGAGAAATAGAGAATTCACTAAACTAACTGACTGGTCGACGAAAGCTAGAAATGCAGACGGATTGCCAAAGTTGATGGCACTTAACCGTTGGAAGCTTACAATACCAGTCTTCATGTTGACCGGAAGTTTTGTGCAAGAACCGCACATGAAAATGTTCATTGTAGGAAAATGGTTTAATCGTAGAATCGCCTGTAGCTAGGTATAGATTCTTTTCACCTGTCTGACAATTTTTGGACGTCATTGTGTAAACGTCTTCCGTACCGTGTAAATCTTTCCGGTCGGTATTTTCACATCATCTGTCGGCGAATGCTTTTTGCTTGGTACAAACCTCGACATGTTCAATGCTATTGTAAACTGTTGCTGCTTTCGTATAAAATTTATATTTTTGAGAGCTGCGAAGCATCTTCAAACGTCGACAGAAAAGTAGTCCTAACGACCTTTTAACGGATAGTGCTCCTATATTTTGTCGAAATATTTGCAATATTTCACATGTAACTGGCGCTATGATATTTTGAAGCATTGAAATTTTATTCTTTCGCTAAAAGCGCAGCTTGATTCGATAGTAAATAAGGCTAGTTTGGGTAGGCCCGCAAGCTTAGGTATCCGTTCGTCACAAAAAGCTTATTGTTGATAGTTATTTGCTCACAAAGCTGTAGCTGCTACGAGAAGCTGGTATAATCTGGTCGAAACAATTTCTCCTATTTGTCCTTCCTTAGATAGGAAACGTAAAGAATACTTATTCCTTATGAGCACGGGAGTTTTCAAACCAGACTAAACTCTCTCTAGAGAAGAGGAAGCAGACTCTTGCTGCGAGTTTTGTAGCCAAGCTTGTTAACGCCGAAGTAGAGTCGTCATTCCACCTGTACGAGCTTGGTTCCACCATTTCGTGTAGTCACTAGGCTCTTTTTCCGTTATGCCTACCGTGGTGTAGGGCTACTTATAAAGTGAATTCTCGTGTATGAGTCCTCCGTAAACATTTTAATGAAAATTATCTTTTATCCTATATTTCAGATAAAAGTGAATATATGAAAAAGATGTAACCTGATCGATAACGTTATTGATACTTGCTAAGCGTTAGTGCCGCTGTTATGTTTTTTTCCTTTTGCCACCATTGGCCTAGGTTTAGATATTTTAATAGTATTTTATGGTAAGTTAAGTTAGCAAAGATAGGCTAAGTTATCATGAAGCTTTTATAGTTTCAACGGCAGCAAATAAACAGATAAACCAATTTGAAGAAGAAGGTTTTCAAGACTGTGCTTTATAAAATATAAAGTATATCAGCGTTACATTTTTAACAATGTCTTCACAAGTACATTTTTTTGATTTAGTCCTTCTCTTGCAATGAAAGATGGCTTTAAACGACGTAGTCTGACTTCAGTTAGTTTGCCGATGCCAATTTTAAAACACTTTCCCTTGTGTTCTACAACAGGAGATGAGAGGACAGGCTGTCGTACGCTATGGCTTCGAATGAAAAGAGTTGGTACTCTCAATAATAGATGGTGATTCCTTAGTTGTGATGTCTTTGAGTAAAACCTTCTTCATTTGCACTGCCTGTCTTCACAGTGTATAGAAATCCACGAGGAAGTCTTGCAAGGGTGGCGAAAACTAGTTTTGCTAGTGTTGTTTTTGTATCTTATGTCATCTCTCTGCAAGGCCTTTTTCCTGAAAACATATATGAATTATTAAAGGAAAAGACTTGAAAAGAAGTGGCAATCCAGTGCCATGAAAAGTGAAATCTTCGTTTCCCTCTGCTATTTGCTCAAGAGGGTAAGTTGCACATGCCAGCGATTGTGTTTCGTTCTTTACTGCTTTGGAAAAATCGGCGGCCGATTAGTTACTGTCTGACGTGACGCCTCATGATTAGTTTTTGCCGTGAGTAAATTTTGTGTTGAGCAGATTTTTCAACTTTAAAAGTATATCGGGGAAGGGAGGCTCACTATTTATAATCGAAGAGCATAATTACTTTTCGTTCTATAACAAGCAGAAATCGTCGTACCATCCGCCAATTTGTCTTCACTTAAGTCGACTTCATTAGCTATCATTGCTGCGATAGCTTTCATGTAATATATTTTTCTCTTTTATTTATATTTATATTATTTGTTCAATTTTTTCAGGTGGATGTTAAACACAAACAAGTTAATATACCTGATATAACTACCGACTTGATAAGTAAGACAGTTATTCATCAACTTGATGACATTAATAGGGCTATTATATATACTGGAGATGAAGGAGAACAAGTTCTGAAAACGGATGGTGTTAACATTGCGGGGATGTTTAATCACAGTAACATTCTGGAAATTAATCGCATTTATTCCAACGATATTCATGCCATGGCAAAAACTTACGGCATTGAAGCTGCTGTACAAGTTATAATACAGGAAGTATTTAATATTTTTAAAGTTTATGGTATAACTATTGATCGCCGACACTTGTCGCTCATTGCCGACTATATGACTTTTGACGGCACATTCCAGCCGTTATCACGAAAAGGAATGGAACATTCCTCATCACCCCTTCAACAAATGTCTTTTGAATCATCGATGCAGTTCTTGAAATGTGCTGCCGGAGCAGGTTGGTCTGATAAGCTAAATTCACCATCAAGTCGTTTGTCGGTAGGCTTACCCGTACAGAATGGCACCGGAGCCTTTCATTTATTAACAAATATTCTCTAATATATTAAATAAATGCATGTAAAAAAATTATTTTATTCCGGATGCATTATTACTTTTAGTGCCACAATATGGTTCTGTGCTCGTCGAAATGTTTCCTGACGGATTCAAGTATGAATAAGTACGTTCTTTTTTTTCATCAATACATCAACATTTCTAATTTGGCTTCACTCCCGCCATACATGTCATAGGGTGGTGCATAACTATCAGGCGTTTTTAAACGACGTTATGAGGCGCTCTTGAACACTATTTGTTACGAAAAAGGAACATAAAAATCCAACAGTAATATTTATTAATTAATTAATCCGGATTAATCCGGAGCTTAGTTTACTTCAATAAATTTCCAAGTTTGTTAAGACAACGAACGATGATTGAAGAGACTTTCGCTCCTTCCACGGCTGCCAAAGTGCCTGGTCATCGAAATACTGGCTTATCTTGCAAGCTAGTGTCTCTAGATTTGAACGGGCAAACCATTCCACATACGTCGATTGTGCCTTTACCGAAAAGTTTGTTGTGATCGCGAAACGACTGTGAAGCTTTCTGTCCTTTCTCAAAGTGGTACAGCATATGACGAATATGAGTATGATTGTCGATACGCGTTTTCATAACCTAAAAGTAAAAGCATATTTTTATTCATAAATTTGGGAAAGTATTGCAAATTTTTATTAAAACGTGGGACGTCAAAGAAACGTCTGACAATTATGCACCAACCTATTATCTTTAATTTCAAACAACAACCAGTAAAAGCTAGGATATGTTTTTCGTAACCAAAGGAAGAGATACAGGTCTTAAAGTCTCAGGCTTTACCTCCATCCATTTTCAAGAAGCCAAGAAAAAAAAAATAAAATTTACTAGATGGAAATACATTCGAAAGAAAAAAACCGGAGACAAAGAAAAAAAATGGCACGCGGCCCATATTTTTACTTCAAACCTAAAACAAGTTCCGTTGTTGTGTAAAACCCAGAAATCTTTGAAATGCGTTTACAAGTTCCTACCTTTTTTGGTTATCTAATCTTCTCTAGCATTAATTATGAACACTTTTCATTCTTCATAGCAAATAAAGAATATTAAATAGTCAAGTTCACTTACCACTCAATGTTAAATTCAAATTTATTAAATTATTTGAATGCACTAAACAAAGTTTAACTTTAACACTCTGATTTTGTTCAATTATTTCAACGCACTATACACTATAATTTTACTAAATTATTTCAATGCACTGAACAAATTTTAAAGTATCTTTCTTTTAAAGTATCTGTTTTTTTAAAGTATCTTTATTTTTCTAAAAAGTTGTATCTTATGAAAATGTAGGAAAATTAAACTTTGTTTCTTTTATATTTTTTTTTGATTCAATTTTCTTTTAATTTCGGGCAAAACTTTATTAGGTTGTGTGATTTGCCAGCTTGGCAAATTGATTGATCGAATTTTGAAAGCCGTTCGCTGCTTTTATACAGAAATCTTTTGCGTAGTTTTTAAAAAAATTCACCATCTAGGGGGGATGGAGGGGTCACAGAGTTGCTTTCAACAAATATCAATAATGGTGAAAATAAAATTTCACCACATATTGCATGATATTGATATATACTTGTGCAAAGTTGCATTTTAATATTATAATATTATACATTCATTGAATGCATAATGTACAATATAATGTACATTATCGCAACTATGCGATGAAGAGATGTTTGGGGAAAATGATATAATTTGATTTTATTGGAGAATTAATTAAATGTCCATAATAAATAAATAAATAAATTTGCATATGTTCCTTTTGCAAATTTTAAGATTTGAAAGAAAAAACACTTGCAGAATCAAAAAGAGAGAGTGTTCGACGCAGAAAATCACAAATTTCGGCTCGTATGAGAGTAATTAAAAAATTTTAAATTTATACACTGTAAGTATTTAATTGGAAGTCATTGGTAGTCGCGGCAGCTAAAGTAATTTTTTCAAGAGTCATTTTATAATGGAAACTGATACAGTTTTCAAAGAATCTAAGAAAGTAACCACAAATAATAATTCAAAAGAAAATGGATCGTCGGATACTCAACCTAAAAATCAAACCATTGTTGATGAATCAAAAGGAGTCGCCAAAAAAATTAGGAACATTCCAGGAAGCTCAGTGACATAAACTAATACCATAGTGGATAAACAATACTTTTACGAGGATGAAGTATTTCGAATCTATAAAAAAGACCGCGTCAAAGTTAGTCTAGTTGTTGAGACATCTGGGTTCTATTCAGATGAGGAAGATGAGGAATTCGAAGAACCACTTTTCAATGATAATTAAAGCGTTATTTGGTAGCCAGACGCACAAGACGTGACCGTCAAAGAGAACTCGGTGACTTAGGAATTGGAAAAATCGAAAAGAAAAAAAATCAGCTTTGTTTTTTGCTAATGACTACTTCTTAATTGCTAAATGAGTCCCGGAAACAGCTGAAAGAAAATCTTTTCGGTTTCCCTATCGGCATAGGGCAAATTTTCCCAATACGGACTTTGGTAGCCCTTTCTATATGTCGCCAAATGAAAATCTGAGAGGCATCTGTGTGGGTCTCAACTCCGGAGTTGTGCTGCTACACCTCACTGCTATACGTCACTCCCGACTTTATCACGACCAACTGCAAGAAACTGCAATACGTAAATTGATATCGAAGTTATGTTTAAAGGTCATTTGGGCAATCAAAACTTTTTCACTTTATTGGGCTATGAATTTCCGAATCTGATTTATCGTCTGAATTGCGTATGGAATCGTCAATTGTGTACATGGTGAAAAGATCATGGCTACAGTGATGTCTTTGATAAATATTTCACTTGCAAAGGACGTATCAAAATGTATCATGGCAACTGTAATCCTCGAGTACCCGAATAATAAATCTAATAAGTCCAAGGAATGTCGATAATGACAGATTAAAGGACGTTAAGCTTTATGCATCTCATACGTTAGTTAAATAGTTAGTTATGTAAAATTTTCTTACCAAAATAACAAATTTCATCGCAAAATTTTCTCCTTAGCATCTTAGTTACTGCCCTATATTCTCCTCTTCATAAGTATTCATTTCTCTGAATGATTGTGATACCCTTTCAAAAGCCATCATTATACATACATATAAGTGTTTGAAAAATGTTTAAATTGAACCGCTACTACATCGTCGCCAAAATAAAATGCGAGGGCAGAAATTAAATCCTGAGTATCTTGATTTTGCACCTTATAGTGCTCAAACTTTTTCCAATTTTCACAGGTTCCTTGAATCGTATCTGCTTTTCCGCTTTTCTATTTAAATACGTCACCGATCTTGAAAAATATAAAAGCTTTATTCATATATCTGAAAAACGAATTTAGTACTAACCAATGCTATCACAAAGCGTCAGCAATTTTGCTTACGCTGTTTTGGCAATTTTGAGAGAGCGTTTCACGCATCTCTTGTGTATGCGTACAGCTAAAAAGGTCGGAACTCGAAAATGAAATGTAATTAATTCCACACATAATCAGTGCCTAGTAGATGTCGCAAAAAATTCCCTGGCAGTTATCACTGCGCTCTAATATGCTGAAAATTTTTGCCGTGGAATCTTTTAGTTTTTTGTTCTTTTTTTTTCTTCATAAGCTCCTCTTGTTGTTTTTCCTGGACGTGGAAAGTTTATTTACATGATGTCGTGCAAAAACAGAATCTGAACGATTCATCTCGTGTTGGCCGAGTGATCGTTTTTGCCACGCAAAGTGTGAGGGCATCACCAGCCATACTGCTGAAGCAGTCTCTGATTCCTTAAAAGGCTTACGATGGTCATGTCCTGACTGTAGAAAGCGGGACATAGATTTCTACAAATTCTTCACGGAGACGAGAAATTGTTTCTCAGATTTGAGCAAAAGTCTCGACTCCTTGTGGGAAAAACTTCAGATCATTAAGACTAGGTTTGATGAGCGTCGTGATATTGCGTACTCCCCTTCTTCGCCAGCTAGCAAAGTTACAACTCGTAGCATAGCGTCTGGTTCGTCACCTCTGAATTCTCCTAAGTCTGATTCGTTGGTGGAAGTTAGCGATTCCTCAAAGTCTACTAAGAACGTTAGCGTTTCTGCTATTGTTGAGTGGGTCGGTAGCAAAAAGTTACAAATACGTCAAGAAGTCGTTCTGGTTTGAGCTATGCTGCAATGGCAAGAGTATCGCCTCCTAGTGGCGTCACTCACTCAACTCAGGCGTCATCGCCTAAAACTAATAAAGAGCAATATAAATCATCCTCTCCCCCGGCTGTTCGAGTGTGAACGCTGATCTCCAAACTGGATATGTCGCACAAGCTGCTCCATTGGTAATCCCATCTATATTCTCACCAACTCAAAACTCCCCAGTCGTGAACCCTACCGCTCCTAGCTGTAATGACATTTGCTTGACGACAGTTCCTCTCAGAAACGCAATATTTGTGTCAAGGCTGGCACCCGATACATCTGCGGATAACATAAAAAGTTATCTAGCGGTGAAAGTCCCATCAGTCAATCTAAAGCGGGTTACTATTTTTAAATTGGCTCCATCTCAATCTGGAGCAATCACTTCTTTTAAAATTTTTGTTCCGACTGAAAACAATGATATGTTGTTAGATAAACCACTTTAGCCAGTTGAATCCGTAATAAAGGAATTTATCCCTCGTGATCGTCGCCGTAATACTAAACCAGTCGTCCTGTCGCCTCCAAAAAACTAAATGTTTCTTCAGGCTCACAACTTTTCCACAACTCTTTCCAGGTTTTCAAAAATGACCGATTGAACCGCATTGGTAGTGGTGTATTAATTGCCATATCTTCGTCATTTCCGTCCAAATCAATTGAATTTCCTACTACTCCTGACGTTGAATTTGTTGCCGTTCGAGTGAAAATGCCTAATAAACAACTATTTATAACCTGCTCCTATATTCTTCCAAATTCCGATATCTCCATATATAAGAAACAGGTCGCCCTTATTTGTGAAGTGGCTAAGCAGTCGAAACCCTACGATTTGGTTGTTGCGTTGGGAGACTTCAATTTACCTCAAGTCACTTGGTGTAACAGTGGCAATTCTGGCTGTTTGATTCCTACTTCAACGTC